AGCCATCCTTTACGCGCCCAGGACCCCGGGGATATGTGGATCCCAATCAATTTGGGAGTCACCTACCTGGTGGAACAACATAGAATTGAGCATCTTATGCAGACGTTCTACCATACCTTCGGTTTGTGGGTGGTACGGTGAGGTACGGACCTTTTTGTGCCCAAAAGGTTACACACTTCATGCAGCAGGGAGCTTGAGAAATTTTTCCTTGGTCGGTCAGCAGCCGCTCAGGAGCACCTTTGTCGAGGACGTAGCCCTGGACATAGGCCTCAGTGATGGCTGCTGCCAACTGGATGGGGAGTGGCCAGGCCATGGGCCAGTGTGTAAAATACTCCACCCCAACCAGCAGGTACTTGTTACCCCTAAGTGTGGTAGGAAAAGGTCACAGGATGTCCAACGCAATAAGCTCGTTGACGCGGGACACCTTGCTAGACTGCAAGGGCGGGCACGATGGCTTTGCTGGAGGCTTCCGCCATGCACACTGGGTGCAGCCCATGAGTAGGTCAGCCACATCCATGCCCGGCCAGAAGAAATCCAGCTGGAGCATGGCGAGGGTTTTGTGAGCCCCCAGGTGCAATAAACGCTCGTGTGCTGCCAAAACTGCCGTACCTCACAGGGCAGAGGGTACGACAATTTTGTGTGAATGGGATCTACCATCCCATTTTATAAGGAGACCTTTGCACAAGAAAAGGGAACCAAAACCTTCTCGACCGTTTGCCAAGTGCCCTGCGCGGCGATGCAAAGTAAGCAGGGATGCATCCTCCATTTGGAGAAGACCACATTCAGCGAGAGTCAGGCCGAACATGTCGTCCCAACCAGCTGGCTCAACAGGGTCCCGAGACAAAGCATTGGCGTTAGAATGTCGACTGCCTTTGCGGTAGGTAACCATGAAATTGGAGTCCTGAAGGACCTCAAGCCATCTGGAGAGTTGACTGGATGGTTGGTCAACGCGCAAGGCGTATTGCAATGCTGCATGCTCCGATCAAACGGTAAAATGCCTGCTGTACAGGTATGGCCGATATTGCTGGATAAAAAACACAATTGCCAATAACTCACAGCGAGTAACACAGTAGCGTTGCTCCGCCAGGGACAACACCCTGCTGCCATAAGCAATTACACGCTCGACCCCGCCGCTGACCTGTGAAAGCACCCCGCCGATGTCGGTGTTGCTCGAAAAAGTTCGGGTAACTCAAAGGTGGAGCATTCACCAGGGAATTTCGCAATGATCAGAATGCAGTCTCCTCCTCCTTCCCCCAGTGGTATCTAACACCCTTGGCCATCAGGGCTTGTAGGGGTTTGTGATCGAAGCAAAGTCAGTCACAAAGCGATGGTAATACGAAGCAAACCCAATAAAGCTACGCACCTCTCCCACCGAAATAGGAGTCGGCCACTAGCTGACTCACCTCATTTTGTCGGGGTTAGTGGAAATGCCCGACCAGCTAACAATGTGTTCCAGATAATGCACAGACTTTCGCAGAAGGTGGCATTTCTGCGGCTTGAAAGGCACGCATTTTCATGAATACGGCCCTCAAGCGTTCGAGATGATCCTCGAACGTGTGGCTAAAGACGATAACATCATCTAAATAAATCAAACATGAGTCCCACTGGAGCCCAGCGAGGACCAGTTCCATTAGCTGCTGGAACGTCGCTGGTGCCGAGTGGAGGCCCATGGGCAACTTGTTGAATTCGAAAAGGCCCTGTGGTGTCCAAAAGGCGGTTTTGGGTTTGGACTTGTCATCAAGGGGGAGTTGCCAGAAACCTGACAAAAGGTCCAACATAGAGAAATAACGTGCCCCCACCAAGGCGTCCAGCTATTCGTCCATACGAGGAACCGGGTATGCGTCAGCTACCGAGCTTTTATTGAGACGGCAAAAATCGATGCAGAATCTCAAAGTGCCATCGTGTTTTTTACGAGCACGATGGGAGCTCCCCACAGGCTGGTTGATGGGGAAATTATGTCCGCTGCCAGCATGTCATTGACGGACAACTTGACATGTTCCTTTTTGGCCGGGCTGAGCCAAAATGGATTCTGCCTAATGGGAGCAGCGTCGCCCGTGTCAATGTGATGACGCAGTAATTTAGTGCAGCCAATATCGAATTTACTTTAACTGTAGAAGTCGGAGAATTCCTGTAAAAGTGCACGTAATTTGGCCCGCTGTGACTCGGACAGGTCGCCAGCCCCCAAACAGAGCGAATTTAACCAACCGTCGTCCGGGTCCGAGCGCGGCTGCGACCTAGGTATGGTACCCACGTGGCCCACAACCGGGTTTCCCAGGGGTGCCGGTGTCACGTGAATGAGTATAGTCCCCTGAGAAACGACGGCCGGTCGCAACCCAGCATTCAGGACCATGATGAAAGGGTTCCTACTACCATCCACCAGAGTCTGTGTGGCCACCAGGTCTAACCCCCTAACCGCGGCATTCGACAGACCCAACAAAACCCCATTGTCCGACGCCCCCGAGGCAAAGGGTTTCCGCAATCGAAGGGGCACTAGCATCTGCGCGCCCGGCGGAATATGCACCGTCTGGGTTACCAACGCCTACACAGTAGTGCAGGTTGTGCGCAACTTCGTGGAGGAGGGCAGAAACGCCATGTGTCGGCCTGAGGGAAGCTCGATGCAACCCTGATCGATGAGAATCTTCATCGGCATTTTCGCCAAGAAGTCTGTCCCCAGCTGGTATGGAACAGCGAGGGAATAGGAGACCAAGACAGGACCGGGCAATTTAATGTCGCCAATACAAATTTGGGCTTGTATCTGGGCAATTATGCTGAGCGATCCCCCATTGGCAGCGAAACACCGAATTTCAATCGGTTGCAGGGGGCGATGCTTAATGGATTGAATATTGTAGATGAGGTCCGAAATAATGGTCGCTGACGCCCTGGTATTGACCAATACACGAAATTTAACACCCTCGATAGAGTCTATAATGATGGAAGATCCCGCGGCCGCAGAAACAACCCTATGGGCCAGCTCGGACCACTGACCAGGTTGGAGTGCCCGGTCAGAGCTAAGACAATCCGGCCCCCCGACGCCCATTGCCTGGTGAACATGCGACATGATGCAGTGAGGTGTAAGCGGGGGCTGAACATGTGTGGTGCCGCGACTTGCCTGAGGATGCTGCGAAGCCTTGGGTGCTCGAGCGTCCAAACGCCAGGGTCTGGATGCGCGATGTCGAGGTGCTCGGCAGCCCGACGACACATGCCCCCGCAGGCCATAATTATAGCAGGTGACGAAGGCTGGTTCCAGCCATGGAGGAGCTTGTCCCCGCTGGTGGAAGTCCCGTCTTGCGGATGTTCGTTGGATCTCCAACCCGCAGGCTGAGTTGTCGCGAAGGCCTGGTCGGGTGGTGTGTCGTCCGGCGAACCGCAGGACTCCACAGCGAGACTTGGTTCTCTTTTGCAGCAGCAGGTGTGCGTGATGCTCTTCGCGGCATGCAGGGAGCACATGTGCTCATCATCCACGGCATGAATGACGATCCGCAGCTCACGTGCCAGCACCAACAATGTATCCAACACAAGGGCGTCAATGCCCTCACAGTCCATCTGTGGGAAAGCGGTCTTCACCAGGGACAGCAGAGCGCTGCGAAATGCGAGGGGAGATTCCGTCTCACCCTTACGTCGAGCAGCGAAGTGGTGACGCATGTCCGAGGGTGGCCCATAGATCGCTGACATGTGGTGGAGCGCCAGCTGGGACGGTGATAAGGGCAGCGAGGGCATCATCGTCCAAAGCAGCCAGAAGCGCTCATATCGCCTCCTCCTCAGTCCAACCTGCCATCTCCCAGTGGGCGAGGAACCGGCGCTGGAATGCCGCCCAATCGCCCCCAGCCATGGAGAATTATTTTAACAGGGGCACTCGTTGTTGGACGGATGGCACGCGCCCCGTAGTCCACCGCTCCTCTTCGAACTTAATGCCACTGACAGGCGGCAAGACGGCGGCCCCCAGTGTTGGTTGTGCCGCCGACGATGCGGCACTCTGGTCTGGGCTGCTCCCATGGTGCACTTGGCTTCTGCTTGCGGCGGAAGCTGTGTTGTCTGGGGCGGGAATTTCTAAATCTTAAGCCGGCCCAGTGGCGGGAGCGGCTGTTGGTCGTAGACCCGCTCTGCTTTCCTACTCTGCCGTCGGCCCCCCGCGATTTATGTTTTCAAGGATGTTGGCTGCGGCATGGAGAAGCTCGGCAAGATGGGAGTGCGCAGCTTGGAGCGCACCCCCTGACGTCGGCGATCCGCCGGGTGGTCGGGCTGGCTGCAGCTCAGCCGGCAGAAACTCGCCGTCCACCCCAGGGTTCGTTGTCCCTACGGCAACCGAGTCACCGTTGTCTTTTCCTGGGCTTTTGGTACGAACTTTCCTTCTAGTTTCCATACTAGCTAATGTGGCCACTTCTGACGCCAGTTGTCGTGGGTTCAATAACCAGAGGAGAGTTCTCTGAGGCAACACGTAATTTATTTAACAATAGCTTATTAACACAAGGGGGTAACTGCGCCTTACACCTGATACACTAAGGTAGCCCCTCAGATGCTCACCCCGAGCTCTCATTATTCTGATAGTGCATTGTCTTTGGGCTGTACGCCTTTTGGCGTCCTCTGGTCTGACACCGTTTGAGACGAGGCTCAAAATAAAGCTGTCTCTGGTGTGGATCAATCAGTTTCAAGGACAATGCATATATTATCAGAGTATTTTTTTTTGCATTCTGACCACAAGCATTGTGGTTAATGAAGACATGATTCCTTGTAAAAGGTTTCAGTTTGGTGTTTTAACATCTTAACACCTGTTTTTTGCAGTAAAAAAGAGAAAAACCTGTTATCATATTTTTGGTACTGGCAAAGGAGGTCCCATGATGTTGAATCTAAAATCCACGCATCCACGAGGAGAGAGAGAGAGGCGAAAACTCCAAATATACAGCAGACATCATGGTTATTATCAAACCTACGACCTTCTGCATATCAGGCGAGGTAGTTAACATCTCCTAGCCACCGCGGCGAGTGAATGGAGGTGGAGCAACCTGCAGGAAGGAGAGCGGGTCCTGCACGGCGAGGGCGGCGAGCAGCTGGTTGATCTCCTGCTCCAGGCCGCTTGCTCTGCTCTCATAGTGATCGATGTCCGCCTGAATGCGGGACAGCATGGAGCGGCCCTCCTCATCTACGCGCTCCAGCGCCTCCCTCTCCTCCTTCTTCCGGCGCTCAAACTCTCGGCTGATCCGCGTCTTGATCCCACGCAGAGACTCCTACACAGACAGTGCCGAGTTATTGATTCACTCATAAGGTAACGACGCAATGTGGTGTTGTAAGGCAATGATTGTTACCATTCCTCGATTATGTACACGGAGGTGAGTGACGTGTGCTTTGGGAGCTCGTGAACATATAAAGCACAGGGAGAATGACAATGGAATATAAGGGGAAAATATCATAGACATGGGTAGTATAGGAAATACTTCTGTCTGTAGCTACACGTTGCTGAGTGTCTATCTGTGGAAAATTAAATACATCTCTATGGGTATCATTCGCATCTGTATGTCCGTCCGTCCCATTCTGGACCTCCCAAACAGTGCGTCAGAGGGAAACACGAATTAAATCGTCTCTCTCTTGCCGAGGACAATCCCAGAAAATTGTGTCAAAGGTCTGCGAATATACAGAACAAATACACGTGACATTGCTCTATTGTTTTAAGTGAAAACGTGCTGAAATAGACACTATGCTGATTTCGAAGGCAATACTCACGTCCACTCTCCCTTGCACTCAGGCTAAGTTGGTGCTGTCCATTTTTTGGGGGTCAGAAGCTTCCATGGCAAGCTTCGTGGTTGTGATCAATAAAGGAATCGACAGGGCAAGTCGCCAACGCTTTGTCCAGCGTGGATAGATTCCGTCCCCCCTAAACCAAAACTGCTATCATGTTGGAAGTTGCGTCGTAAATTAAGTTCTGTGTCGTTCAGTGGTGACCTTATATTCATGTCGTAAACGTTTGATGCAAATCGAGTCTTCGTAAACCTGACATAATGTTTCCCAAATGTTGAATACAAATTCCACTGATGTGTAAAAATACACGTAAGCAATTTTTAATTGAAGATTAACGTTTCAGAAATGTTATGCGCTCAAATAAATGGGCTTTAAAAGAAGTCTGGGCAGACAAACAGCCAGCAAGTTGTAATTGCTTGCAATTCACCAACGTTATATCCCGCGCCGATGCGTGGGGCAGTGCTCGTCAATGATGAAAGCAAGGTTTAATGAAATATGATTCTTAGGAAAACCAGAAGAGGGAATTGTGCCGCTGCCGTCTCTCTCTGTACCTCCAAGTGCCGGTAGTCATCCCTGAGTGCCCGTGTCCATGACGCCGCCATGTTCCTCTTCTCTTCCCTCCCCTCCTTCTTGACTCTGAGCTCCTCCTGAGTATGGTAGATAAATAAATAAATACGCGGTGCTGCCCATTGTCATTGGTAGATCACTGATAGATCATCATCGTGCATCTCTGATTAGCACAGTTGGCTATGAAAGAAGTTAAAAACACATACACACTACTGTTATCATTATATTTCTGCAAACGTCTCCATTCATATTTTGACTTTTCCCACAATTGTATCCCGACTTCACTATCCGTGTCATGTATTGAGATGAATAATCCAATCGGAACTACCTTGGTGCAATGCAATATCCCGTGAGACAACATCATTGACAAATATCACTTAAATTCTAAAATGTTTTAAACCTCTTCCAGTGATGGGTGTAGCGGCTTCTCACACGCCCTATGATGCACAGGGACGTTGCTCACTTAATCAAACTAATATTTTTAATTCTCATACAAAATATGATTTGACATGTTAAATTTTGACTGGGCTTAGACGGTTTAAACCATGAGCGTCCAACGAGATTCCAACTCAAGATTTTAGCTTTAAGATCTCAATTTTTCTGACATCTGAGCCACCCTGCCACCTCTACCTTGGTCTCCCTGTAAAGGGACGTTTGGTCCTAACAGGATCTCACCTGGTCGAAGTGAGAGGTCACGTCTTACTGATGTGAATCTCTCAACCTCCTGTAACAATGTGGATTACAACGGAACATTACACTTCACCTGTCTTGTCTGTTTCGCTTTTTCAAATGTGATGAACCTGTGATCGGAGTGGTCTCCTGTGATGGTGCAGACTTGGCAGATCGGGCTCTCATCCTGTTCACAGTAAAGAATGAGCTTCTGTCTGTGCTCCCGGCACTGTCGTTCCTCCATGTTCACGGTGGGAGCCACCAGGACGTGGTCCCTCAGCCTGGGATTCTCCAAGTGAGGCCTCTCGTGTGTTGTGTCAGCAGCTTAGCGTGGAGGGGCAGACGAACGTGTCCAGGCAGATGGAGCAGCGCAGCTCACGATCTACACTCTCACTGAGAGTCGTGCTCGCCATGACCCATGTCTTCGCTGGGATCACTCGCTGTGTGGCTCAGAGAGATGCTGAACCAGGATCTCTCTCTTATAGGGACGATGAAGAAGGAAGTAAAATACTTTAAATAGTTTCATTGTCGTCATTGACATCACAAGACACTGCCCGGAATCTTGACATAAAGCTTTTGTGACTGCAGGAATTCATATTCTTTGGGTCTTTCGGTAAAGTCACGTAGAACAACATTTTTTTGTTCTATGTGACTTTACGGAAATACCCAAAGAATTAGACTGCCAGGAATGTGAACCCATGCCCTTGGTGCGCAAACAGCAGCTTCAAGGTTAACATGGTTACAATACACGCCTTGACATGAACAAAGTGTATCAAAGGAATCTAATATTTTAACAAATACATACATTTAAAGAAATTATTTGTTGTTAATATAAATCGGTGAGGCTCAGCTGCAGTGGATCATGCATGAAATGAGTATCGAGAGATAAACTCACCCTTCCAGAGTGTTGTATATGTTGGGTTATGAAAATTTGTTATGTTGTATGCGTGCGTGGGTGAAATTATTATGTTGTATATGTGGGTTATGAATATTCAGTGAAAATAATAATAATTAAATGAAATTTGGCCAAATGTGTAATTATCCGGAAATATGTTAATTTATATAATTACGCACATTTTAATTATGCCAATTCGAGAGGTAATCGGATTAATTATGCGAGTGGGTGTAATTATGATAATACAAGTCGTTATGATAACCAGACCCCGCCTCGGTGACGAGGGTGGGTTATCGATCGGAAGAAGGCAATTAATCGTATGCAGTTATGCAGGTGTGGTGTAAGTATGCAAGATTAACTTAGATTAACTCGGCATCGTTGTCTAGGTTCGTCTCATTCTCGCTTTAACATTCCTGAGTATGTATTAGTGTGTTTATTAAGGTCACCAAGTTCAAATCTCAACGCAGAAGCAGATCTTATGCATAGATTTCAGGAAAGAATCACACAACCACTTCTGTATTGATCAATTTATTACTAATTCAACCTTAACTATGATATAATATGCGAACTCTCAATCCCGGAAAGTCAACACGGCATCAATACAGTATCATCAACGATTGTCTGATTTCACTTTGACAACTGCACATGGATCCCGCATAACGCGATGGTTGTTAGTGAGAGAGAGAGTCGTTAAAACACGCAAATACTATGCTAAGAAAACCTTATCTAATGAATGATTATACTCAATATTGTTCATGCAGTACCACACTCCTTATTGACCATACGCAACCCTTATCACGTTGTTACACCTTGGGTCACGGGACAGTTGAATATTCTGTAGAGGATGCGAGTACGTGCGGCGATTATGACTGAAAGATACTTGAAAGATTATACGGCGATAAAAACACAATCAAAAACAGTTATTATTCTTAAAGGCACCAATCTCAACAGATACATCGGCAGGTTATCTGACAACAGAACGGCCCGGAGTAAGGGCCTGCGACGGTGCTCCTTTTCCGAAGCTCGTTATCTTATACCAAGTTTACTAATTGGGGACCAGATCACCTGATAAGGATCCGGTGGGCCACCACTCCCCACGTGAGCGTGGCTCGGCGGAAGGAGGTGCCAAGAATCAGTTCGTATTGATGGATCTGTTGGGAATTTATGCGATTAAGAGTACAGCCCACTAAATATTAAAGATAAAATCAAGAATACTCCTATAAGAGACGGAGGGCCATCACTCGGTCTCGTTGTGATGCTTTCCAGCCACGGATGGCTTATGGGTTCGAGTGTTTTTGAGTGGTAAGAGTTGTCTTGAATAGTCAGTGTTCGGAGTCGATTCTTTAGGTCAAACAGACGCCTGGTGGTCGTGTGGTGAGGGGGCGGTGCGCGTCATACGTATCAGTCGCTCCCCTGTCACCGTGGTGGTTCGGATGGCTGTTGATACGCTGTCGCAGTTCGGAACCCGGTCGGTAGGTGGCGCCCACAACTCGCTCGTAGCGTGCAGCGCTGGATCGTCGCCAAACCGCAACGATCACCACTCCGGCGGCAGCAGAGACCTCCGGCGGCAGCAGAGATTGACGAGCTGAAGATGAGTCGAGCCGACCCGCTGGTCGCAGCTCGCTCCTGAGTCGATCCTCCCGGTCGAGCTCGCTCCTGGGTCGACCCGCTGGTCGCCCTCGCTCCTGAGTCGACTCTCTGGTCGCACTCCTGAGTGGACCCGCTGGTCGCACTCCTCCTGAGCCGACTCTCCCGGTCGCACTCCTGAGTGAACCCGCTGGTCGCACTCCTCCTGAGCCGACTCTCCCGGTCGCGCTCCTGAGTGGACCCTCTCGTCGCACTGGTTTCCAATGCTCAGGATCCTTTACTTTATGCCGAAAATTCCCCCTGGATCCCGCCCACAAGGCGGGGCTTCTTCCGATTTTTGCTGTGTCAGGATCTGTCCGTAGGCAGGTGTGTCCATGTGTCTGTCCGTATGTCCGTGTGTCCTTGTGTGCATCACTGACGGTATATTCGTTGTCACACTCCCTCCATAAACCCACGAGCAAACAATCAGATGTTACAAATTGCCTCGAGGTCGTCTCTCTGTCTGGGTGCAATATTATCTCTTGTCTGGCCTTCTTCATGAACCCAAAACACAGACGTTACAAATGTCTCATAGGCGTCTTTGTTCGTGTTGCACAACCTGGAGGGAGGGGCAACACTCTCTCCGACCCGGCGCACAAAGAAATGGTTAAAAAGTTTTAAGTTAACATTTGTCCCTTACTATTTCACAGTTATGATTCTGTATGTAACCTAAGGTCTGTCGTTTCCCATCGTGGTGCCCGACCCAAGTGTAGGTGTTTCCCCGAGCGTATACACACTCCTATCCCGCGCTGCGGGGATACAAAGACGGCCGGGATCTCCCTTTCTCTCCGACCCTGGGTTTAACATCGTTTTTTTTTTTATTATGTATTATATTCGACCTGGTTGTGATTCATCCCGTTATCCTGGCTTTTCCATAAGTTTTACTTTGTCTTTTCATGCATATACTTATTACTATTAATTTATTTCCGATATCTTAGGTTAAGGGGTAAGTTTCTTGATCCTAGGAATTCGTATTCCTTGGTGCCTGGATGGTTATATAAGCGGAATATAGTTTACGGTGAATAGCGTTAACATTGATGTTATGTGCGATATTATGTATTGTGATGTCTTTAACTTAACTTGTTTGTCAGGGCTTTACTGACACGAAGTTGCATTCCATAGCCCCGCAGTCTTTGCCCCACCCTATCTCTGCTCGCCGTGGTTGTTGCAGTCCAGCTGACGTCGTTAACTCAAGGCCTCATTAATTTCCGTCACTCCTTGTGTGTGAGGGCGGTTGAACCTTGGAGTCAGTTCTGGTTTTTGTCTGCCTGCTTCTTCTTGTGTCCCCTGACCCCGGGAGTTATTATTCTTAATTTATGGCCTGTTGAAGCCCGACTCGCTGTTGCTGGGCTGGTCGTTCCCGGCTTTTTGCTTACGTTTGCAGTTCGCCGTGCTCTTAATTTCCTTCCCTCTTCAACCTTATATCGACTATTCGCTCCTGTCTGGGTGCGATTCAATTTTAACTTAGGAAGGTTCTGATTGTCATATGCTTCGGGTCGAGTTGTATAGAAAGTATTAAAGTATGGAAATAACATTTCATATTGACTTAATAATGGTGATGGTTCAGTAGGCGTAACTTGTGGCCTGGTTTAATTGGAGTGGGTGTGAATATCGATAATTTAGCCTACTCTGTTGTTGAATTTCGAATTTTGACGTTACTTTAAAACCATGCAGGATGGTTGGGCTTTTTGCCTTAACTATGTCTGGCTGACACTCCCACTGTCTCTGCCGCCTGCACGGGTGACATGTGCCCGTTCATCAGGCCTTATCTTTCCTTGAAGCAAGGTTGCAAATTCTGCCATCCTAGCCCTCCTCCAGTTCATTACTTAACAACACCTGGTGTTTTGCAGTTTGCTGCGCTTGGTGTGTTTCAATCATTAAAAAAACAAGTAAAAAGATAATATATAAAAATCATCAAATATTATTAATCTCAATTATGGAAGAAGGGTTAGGATACAACAAGAGCACAGCGCACAAGTTGGTGGCTATGGTAAGACAGAGCAATGGATTGCATGCCACCGTGGCTATGAGATGTTATCTCGTTAGCGTTACAGCTGCTTTATTTTTAAAGTGTGGGTCTTTCTCTCTCTCCCGTTGGTCACGAGAATTTTGATCTGGGTCCTCTGGTTTACCCTCCGCATTCAGAATCAACATCACACACTTATAGTATTTGGCTGCAATCAATTTCCACGTAAGCCATTTCATTGCGCTCTCATTTGTGATAGCCAGGTCGCTTCTGACAAAGAGCCACATAGCACAGTGAGCCTTGCCTGGTAAAATTAAAAAGAGATTTGTGTAATTGTAGATATCTCATGATGTTCTGTATTTCCATCTTCGTGTAATTACCTCAACTTGACGAGTTGATTGTATGTCATAGTGGTATCCGAGATGGAATTTGTCTGTAGCCTCCCGTTACCCATCCTGGAATAATGGGCATTTGTCAAGCAGTGTGAATCTATCACCAACTCTACCTGCCTCCATCACCAACTGCTGGCGATGTCACCGTCTCTCACCTTGTCTGAGATTGGAGATTCCCATTCCGACCATTCACAGCCGCAACCGCAACTTACGTCACCTGCGTTGTTCCATATTCGCATGCACGGCTATTCTACACGCATCCTCCATCCGTCTTTCTACATCCCCCTCCCCAAGTGGTCCGCGCTTTGCTCATCACACCACGATGCCCCTCTAGCGTGTTCAGGCACAGTGTGGTGCGATGCACAGGCAACTTGGCAGCTAGACAAAGCCTGATGGCTGCTCCTCAAGGTTTTTCAGAAGAACCAAAAGTTAACTTCCCTGAGTCGAGCCCATTGAGCTAAAAAGTTATTTATCAAGGGGGTTTCGGCCAGCAGACATCATCAAAGTATTCCACAAGTACACAAAGACAAAGATTTCCTGTATAACCTTAACAGACTG